TGGTCACACAAGAATAGCAATTAACCAGGTGGGAGGGGAAGAGGAGGACGAGAAGGAAGGTCCCCAAAGAGTCCCCAACCAAGGAAACCCCATAAGCACATCAAATCCCTTCCCTATAGGAACCCCACTTTGACCTTTGTCCATTTTCCAACCTCCACAATCCACCCCACCCAAGTTGGCCACACTTGCCAACCCAATTTGGTTTCTCCCAACCACTTGGCAGCATCTACAGTGATGGGGACGAATTTCCCAACCCCCAAAAGTTTGTACTCCTTATGGAGTCAACCCCACAACTTCCCATAGTCACCACAACCAAATATAAAAAGCATACGAACTTCAAATGTTTGTAACTTTCTTGTTCGTGCTCCGATTGAAGCGATACTTGGCTCGACGGAAAGCTCTTGAGCAGAGGAGTCATTTCAGATATCTTCTCAAGAAAAATATCATTAACACACACTCAGAGAATCCAGACCAGACGAATCACAAATTCTTGCACACACTCACACCACGCATGCAACGCACGAACATATGATGGGAGGCAGACAGACGTGAATGCAAATGATAGCATCACATAACAGCAAGTGGCAGCAAGCGTCAGCACCAAGGGTGAAGCGGTTGGTAGCGGCTATGGCGCGGACGATAGCGCCAAGGAGAACGAGTCCAAGAAGAGCAATCTTGGAGGGACTAGCAAGTAGTGTGAACTTAAGGAGAGTGGTGCAAAAGCCAAAGAGCAGCACAAGGGTAAGATGAACCCCAAGGCTGCCGCGAATTAGGACTACAGCGAGAGCATGTGGGGCACAATTGTGAGTGCGGCATTTTACAAAACGACTTTGGCTATGGGGGAGTGTGATTCATTGACTTTGCACCGATGAATGTGGCATGCGGCCCTACCCTCTTTGCAGCAGCTAGTAAAGGGAGAGATGGTTGCTGGCATACGTGTTAAGGGGAGACTACCGAGATACTTGGCTGACCCACATGCATGCAAGCCAAGTTCACCCGTTTCCCATTCTCTAGTTTGGAGGCAGCCGCTAAGGCACCGCTTGATTAGGTGGTGGTGGACGTGGTGGGAGCAGAGATAACTAATTCAACGGGAGCTAGAGAACGGGCTAGGCACGGGGCTTAAATGATCACTGCGTTCGTTCCTTAGTCGTTTCCTTGTGTGCTTACTATTTGCTAGTTCACGGAAAAAACTGGTAAGAGTTTCACTAGGAGAACATGACAAAAATGATACACAATGGCAAGGCAACAATGACTACGTCGGATGCTAGCAAGCAAGCCAGTCGACTGCCAGCGCTGTATGCTCGACCGCGTTCCAGCACTACAATGTCGACCGCGCTCAGTGCAATGTCGCGGTTTGCCAACGCTGCAGGTTGACGGCGTGCCAACACTACAGTAGGTTGGCGACACGCGTTGCATCCATAAGACAGCAGGGCACCCGCTTCACAGATGCTCGGAGTTGGTTGGCGCGGTGTGCCTCGTCACTCACACAGTGCGGACGCCACACCAACCACGGCCCACGTCCGCACCTGACCCTCCATGTCGACCTCGGGATACCATTCCCGAGGTCGGCCTCGCTAGGACCACCTGGGCGACTGTCGTGCACCTTTGCAGAACTTTGTCACCCGGGTAACTTGGTCGACCTGGAAACCACCAGTTCGGCGTTGACTTCCTTGGAGAAAGTCGACCGGAAGTTGTATGTGCTCGTCTGTAGCCCAAGTCGACGACCACCAGTCGACTTCACCATGTCGTCCACTCCCAAGCTAGCGTCACCAAGTCAACGCCTCCGAGGTCGACCTCGCCAGGTCGACCACCTAAACTCGGCGCCCTCCAAGGCGCCCCATGGCTCCCCTGTCCAAGTCGACGTCGGAGCCTCCCAAGATCAGCGTCCACCCTCGTCGACCACTGGGACTGTTCGGCCGCCGGCTCCCCATCGTCGGCGGTGTGGCAGTGGCCTCAAGCAGGTTGACCAGCTCGTCGACCTGCGCACCCAAATCGGTGTCGCCCACTGCAGCTGATCGGCTGCGCTCCCCGCACACCCGACAACAAAGTGGACCCCGCCTAAGCGAGGACACGGGACAACAACCACCGCCCCGACCACCATTACCACCTCCGCCCCCTTCACGACCACCTTCTCCGCCGCTGCAACGATCCTAGTAGCGCGGCTGCGTAGCAGTGAGGGAGGTGGAGGAGGAGGAGTGAGGGGTGGTGAGGTTGACAATAGGAGTGCGGAGCTTGATCTCTATGCCAATGATCCACTGAACCACCTCGTCGAGGCCAGCCAGGGGGTTTGCCTCATGAAGGCGTGCAGATGAGACTCGTATCCGGCGTGAGGTTGAACAGCAAGTGGTGAATCAGCAGCGGCTCGTTGAGAAAAGCCTAACGAGCCGCAAGGCGATCAACTACCTCCTGCATGCGCCTCACGTTGTCGACTACGCAGTCACAGGTGGCGAGGGTAATGGAGAAGTATTCCTGGAATAGAACGCCGGCAGAGCTGATGTTGCGATGCTCAAACACTGCCTGTAGCTCAGTCCAAATCACTGAAGCCCAGAGCTCACAAGCCTGGAAGCAACGCATGAGGGCGTAAGGAAGTGCACCAAGCATGATGGTGCAAGCGCGGTTGTCGGTAGCAGACCAAGCGATGCGGTGGGGAGCATTGGTCGCCAGATCACTCTCATACTGTGCAAGGAATGCACAATTAGGTGTTGCGCTCCAACTACGCTAAGGTGTAGGCGTGGACATCGGCTTCGTGGTCGGCCATGCGGACCAGACTCGCGACGGTGAAGGAGGAAGGTCACGTCAGCGGCAGCTTGGAGCTCGGCGGTAGCGGCGGCCCCAAGGTCAGGTTCGTAGGGAGGAGGACCAAGAGGGGGGGGACACGGGGAGGATCACCAGGGTGATTGGGCGTGTTCGACGGGAGGGCTTGCGGACGGTGGAGAAGCACGTCAAGGACGTTGGAAGTGGGGACAAGGGCGTCCTTGAGAACTTGGCGGATGCTTCCAACAAAGGAGTGCCAGATAATGGCAGACCTGTCCGCGGCGAGCTGGAGTTTGTCGATGGAGGAGGCATCAATCGGAGAAGAAAGGGAAGGAAGGGAAACAGGAGGGAGAGCAGCCATGGTGGTTGACGGCGGGTGGACCCGCGGTGGCCAAGAGTGACACGACGGGGAGTGGACCCGCAGTGGTCAAGTGTGAGGCGACGGCGGGTGGACCCGCGGTGGCCAGGGGGGGGTTGCTGTTGATGAGGCTGCTGCACTCCTCCTGCTGCTACTGCTGCTGCTGGCGCTGCTGCAGCCGCTGCACCCCTCCTCCTGCTGCTGCCGCTGCACTTCTCCTGCTACCGCTGCACTCCTCCTGCAGGTGCTGCCGCTGCACTCTTGTTGTTGCTGCTTCTGCTGCCGGTGCACTGCTGCTGCTGCTACTGCACTCCTCCTGCTGCTGCTGCGGCTGCACTTCTCTACCTACTGCTGCATCTGCACTCCACCTCTATCTCGTGCTGCTGTTTAGGGGGGGGGGGGGGGAAGGAGAGGAGGAGGGAGAGGGGGAAAAGGAGGGTTGCTGCTACCGCTGCTATTGTTGGTTCTGCCGCTGCTGCTGCTGGGGGTGGGGGGGGGGGGAGAAGAGGGAGAGGAGGAGGGAGAGGGGGGGAAGGGAGGGTGCAGAAATGGGAAGTGGCAGTGACGAAGGCATAGGTGGAGGCGGCGGAATGCAGCGGCGGCGAGACCGACGCTGAGAAGGTTGTGGCGACGGGGCAAACGCGTCGGCGGGGAAGGAGGGTAATGACGACGCAATCGCGGCGGTGGGAAGCACCAGCGGCAACGGCGCAGTTGCGTCGGCGGGAAATGTGGCAGGGACGGGCAGTTGCGGCAGCGGGAATCGCTGGTATTCGCTGGCAGCGACAGCGCGAGTGCGGCGGTGGGAGGGATGGGTGGTGATGATGTGGTCGTGGCGGCGAGAAGGGCAGGCGGCGACGGTGCGGTCGTTGCGGCGGGAAGGTCAGGAGGCGACGGAGCGGTCGCGGCAGCGGGAAGGGCAGGCGGCGACGGTGCGGTCGCGGCGGAGGGAAGGGCAGGTGGCGTCGGCGCAGTTGCGTCGACAGGAGGAGTGGCGGCGACGCGGCGGTCGTGGCGGCGGAATCTGCGGGCGGCGACGGCGCAATCGCGTCGGTGGGAAATGCGGAGGGGGGCCGGAGCGGAAGGGAACGGGCAGCGGCGAGGAGGCCGTGGCGGGAGAGCGTCAAAGGCGGACGGCGACGACGGTGAGGTTGCGGCAGGGAGGGAGGATGGCGGCGACGGTGATGTCGCGGCAGGAAGGGGGGATGGCGGCGACGATTGAGGTCGTGGCAGAAGGGAAAGGAGGGCGGCGACGGGAGGGCGGCAATGTGAGGGTCGCCGCGCGAGGGATGCGTACAGCAGCGTAGTAGAGCCATGATATCGAAGAGTTTGTCACGGTAAGGTGGGCCCTTGAGGAACAAAAACTGGAAGGGGGGGGAGGTAAGGCCAAGGAAAATTATAGCTCTATATTATGTGAAAGTTCGAAATTGAATCAATATCTTTCATTAAGGAAGGAAGAAGCATACATAGGTTGAAGAGAAGCTTGGAAGGGAAGGGGAGGGAGGTGGTGTTTGGGGGAGTAGGCCAACCAATGGCCCATTGTGGCAACACTTGGAGAGTGGGCCAACCTATGGCCCATTGGGTTGAGTTGGCGACACTTGGGGAAGTGTTGCCAACCAATGGCCCATTAGGTTGGGTTGGGAACATTTCCAAAGTTTTGCCAACTTTAGGGACCAATGGGTGCATTTGGGGGCTCCACCACAATGGGGTTGGATTGGCACCCCAAAGTACAAGACTACACCCAAAGTTGGGTGTTGTCCCAACCCAATTGTACACCACTCTTGGTGTACAGTCACAAGTACTTAGCATGCTATATGTATATTTCTAACACAGCGCATCATCTTGGAGGAACAAATGAACGTTCTAAGCACGTGATTGGTGACCCTTTCGCATGGTAAAGGACGAGAATGTTGTTTCATCCCTGCCCTCCTCCCTGCCCTCCTCCCTGCCCTCCTCACCACCATCCTCTTTGTCCTCCTTCCTGCCCTCCTCCCTGCCCTCTTCCCTGGTCCTCCTTGCCCTCCTCCTTGCCCTCCTCTCCACCATCCTCCCTGCCCTCCTCCCTGCCCTCCTCTCCACCATCCTCCCTGCCCTCCTCCCTGCCCTCCTCTCCATCATCCTCCCTGCCCTCCTCCCTGCCCTCTTATCTGCCTTCCTCACTGCCCTCCTCACTGCCCTCCTCCCTTCCCTCCTCTCCACCATCCTCCCTGCCCTCCTCCCTACCCTCCTCTCCACCATCCTCCCTGCCCTCCTCCTTGCCCTCCTCCCTGCCCTCCTCCCTGCCCTCCTCTCCACCATCCTCCCTGCCCTCCTCCCTGTCCTCCGCCCTGCCTTCATCCTTGCTGTCCTCCCTGCCCTCCCTTGCATGGGCCCTCCGTTCCCCCTGTTGGGTATTTTGTTATTTGGTTTATATGTATTGCAATTCAGGATAGCCATTGTTACACATCGACTATCTGATTCGTACCCTACCTTACAGGGGGGAGAAGCTGACAGATATTTACAGAATCGATCGTTGGGTCTACCCTGTCACCTATGTATATGTTGGGGACTACCCGGAGCAGTGCAAGGTGGCAGGTACCAAATCAGTGATCAAAACTGCTTTCCCCTGCCCAAAATGCAAAGTGCCAAATGAAAAGCTCAGTGACATGACTAACCCTATGCAATATCGAACGGAGATTGAGCAACATATGCTCGTCCGTGAAATGCGGCTTGCCCAACTTAAAAAGCAATAGAAGAATTGGAGGTCAAGCATAGTACTCATTTTCTCAAGGTGGGTTCAACCTAACGTTTTCAACTTGAAGTGGCCGTTATTGGCTGTACCTTGGTTAGTTAGTCCCTAACATGTGTTCATCTAGACAATTGCAGAGTGCACAGTGGGAATTTTGATTTGGTGACGCAAGCTTCGGCAACCCATATACAAAACTTATGGTGGCATCATGCGCATGTCCTCTTTGGGGGTCTACAAGCACATTATAGAAAGCTTGAAGCAACAGCTATCAAATGAAGATATCAGAATACTTGACATGGCGCTATCTACTGTCACCCAGTACAGTCGCCAATCTTTCTTCCGCCTTCCCGCGCATACTGACGGATACTTCAGTGGCAATGCCACGTTTATGCCTTCCAGCACCAAGCCGCTATGCAGGTGCTGCCCATTTTGATGTCAACCGTCAAGGACATGAACCTGAAGTGGGTGAGGACCATGGAGCTGTTTTGCTTGTGGCATAGTCTCGCTTGGCATCGCGCCTACCACATCGAGACGTCCATGAAGAATCTGCAAGACATGGCTCATGTGTAAGTAGTGTGAATCCGTGCCATGATTCGCTGTTTCATTCCATCGGTTGTTCATAGTGTAGTAGTTTTGTTATTAACCAACAGGCAGGATTCGTGTAGGGTGGATAGGGAGCATCACTGTCACCATGTAACTCCCTTTCGCTCGCATTTGCCATTTTACCATGAGATTCATGCTTATAATGGTGTGTGAATGATGAGTCTTAATTTTGAATGTATGTGTGTCGAGTCAATAACAAGTCATCGCTAGTCGCGTATTACGTGGTCGTGTGTCTCGTGCGTGGTTTCTATTTTGTCGTGTGTCTCGTGAGCGGTTCTTATTTTGGCGCGTGTGGAACGTTTGGCGTGTTGCAAGTGTGTGCAACAGACCCATAAAAAACTCAAGGATGAGTTTATGATGAAGAACTAGAGCCTTGGTTTCAAGATCCTAGTGATTTCGAAGCTCAACAAAAGGGTACACTTCAAGATATTGTGAATAGTTACATTACTTTGTGTAGTGAAACATTTCACCTGGTGTAGGCCCTTGTGAAAGGTAATTTCGAGACCCTTCATGGATGGGGATAGTGTGGCATTGTTCCACATCACTATACCTCGACTTTTGGGGTTTGTAGGCGCTGGGAGTCATTCCCAACTGCTCCATGTCCTTCCTATTTTGTGTTCTAAGACTATAGTGGCTGCCATAGTGCCGTTCGTTCAAACTGATGTTGCGTCGTCATTTCTAAATGAAATCGTGCGATGTAAATTGCCTATTGTAGGCGACGTTGCGGCGCTCCACATCCCTTCTGAATCAGATCATTTAAAGCTGTGACCTGAACGATATAAAGGTTAAAAGCCAGTAAAGAAATCTGACTGTGCACACTATCTTTCGTTTTAGGCACATTTAAGCCTATTGTGACTATAACAAGTGATATTAGAGCGGAGCAGCTTCAACTATGGATGGACCTGAAGAAAGGGGTGGCAGAGGTGCTGGAGGCAATTGTGAAGCCGAAGTCTTGGCCCATCTAGGGATGAGCCTAGAGTGTTTGGCATTGACAAGTTCAACAGGGACTGCTTCGCTGGGTGGTCCTTCAAAAGGAGAACATATTTGATCACTATGACCTGCTGGAGGTGATGGAAGATACGGAGAATCGCCCCGAGAACGACCCGGAGCAAAGCCCGTGGGTGCGAAAGAGCGCCCAAGGCTACCTCCTATTTGGGCAAGCGCTGGGGAGCAGCCAAATCCATCACATCAAGCAATTACAGCGTGAACCAGAGAAGGGACCAATATCATGGGCTGCTCTCAAGGGTGTACATGCTCCTGCAACAACAGCAATAGCGGTGGTGCTGGAACGGCAAATGGCGTCACAACAAATTGAAGAAGATGAACCCGTGGACGAAGGGTTGCAGAAATGATTTGACTCGCTAACGTGGCTTGTGGGAGCTGATTTAAACTATAGTGAGCGCCAGAAGAAGACCAAGTTGCTGGCCCTACTCCCCAAATCATGGTCCTCGCTCATCATCAATTTGAATCGTGATCTGCCCCGCCTTTCGTTCGAAGACGTGAAGTAGGCGATTCTTCAAGTAGACTTTCGCCGCCGTGAGATGGCGGGTCCGGATGGCGTCGGGCAGCAAACGTTGGCCGTGGATATGGCCGAAGAATAGGCAGAGGAAAAAAAAGGAGGAAGGTTTGGTGGCAGCAAAATTAGTGGAGGCCGCGGCAATGGCGGATACGGCAACGACGACAAGAGCTACAGGCGCGGTCGCGGCCGATTCGACGACGTATGTCACTTTTGCTACAAGAGCGGACACATCTGGCGCCAAAAGAAGACCAAGTTGCTGGCCCTACTTCCCAAATCATGGTCCTCGCTCATCATCAACTTGAATCGTGATCTGCCCCGCCTTTCGTTCGAAGACGTGAAGTAGGCGATTCTTCAAGTAGACTTTCGCCGCCGTGAGTTGGCGGGTCCGGATGGCGTCGGGCAGCAAGCGTTGGCCATGGATATGGCCGAAGAAGAGGCAGAGGAAAAAAAAGGAGGAAGGTTTGGTGGCAGCAAAATTAGTGGAGGCTGCGGGAATGGCGGATACGGCAACGACGACAAGAGCTACGGGCGCGGTCGCGGCCGATTCGACGGCATATGTCAATTTTGCTACAAGAGCGGACACATGTGGCGCGATTGTTACAAGCTACCTGAAGGATGGACCTCTGCTCAAGGCTAAGAGGGTAGAGGAGCAGGAGGGAAAGGAAGAGTCTGTGGTGGTCGCGGAGGTGGTGCTTCAAATATGAAGAACGAAGACAATGAGAGCGACTTGAGTGACGATCGCTTCCCGGATTAATTCCTCGTCTTGACGCAAGCACCAGCTGCACCAGAGAAGGATAAAGGCTTTGAGGAGCCAGCAAATGTGGGAATGGTTACCCTACACTCCCTGGAAAATTGGATGATTGACAGTGGCGCTACCTATAGCATGAAACCTCGTGCTGACTTGCTCACCGAACTCGAACCGTCACCGGTGAAGCATGTCACATCGGCTTTGGGGCAGTGAGCAAAGGTGAAAGGCATGGGCAAGGCCATGTTCAATGGTGCCGATGCAAATATGGTGGGCCTCAAGAACGTGCTTTGGGTGCCCAACCTTGCTGAGAACCTGATTTCTGTGCGGCGGTTGCAAAAGGCCGGCATGGATACGAGCTCGAAGAGAGCTAAGACTTAAACCGCAAGGCTTGGCGAGCGGATTCTGTGGGACCTTCATGGGGATAGGGATGTCTACAACGAGATGTGGAAGATCCCTATGGTCCCTATGATTAAAGAGAGGCAAGTGTGAGAGACTAAGGACAGAGTCCATGAAGATTAGGAGCCGAAATATCACAAAATCGTTGGTCTCAATTTCTGGACAGAATCGTCGAGTTCACAAGAAACGCCGTTGACGGAAATTGCACCGTAAGAATTGTCTCAAAATCAAGTATGTTGTAGCCCTTAAACGAGGCTATCATTCCCAATTTGAATCGTATCCAAAGATGGACTATAACTCGAGTTACAAAGTTTGGCGCACTAGGGGGTATGCTGTCATAGAAAATTAACTCAATCACAAGAGTCTCACAAGTGGTCACACAAGAATAGCAATTAACCAGGTGGGAGGGGAAGAGGAGGACGAGAAGGAAGGTCCCCAAAGAGTCCCCAACCAAGGAAACCCCATAAGCACATCAAATCCCTTCCCTATAGGAACCCCACTTTGACCTTTGTCCATTTTCCAACCTCCACAATCCACCCCACCCAAGTTGGCCACACTTGCCAACCCAATTTGGTTTCTCCCAACCACTTGGCAGCATCTACAGTGATGGGGACGAATTTCCCAACCCCCAAAAGTTTGTACTCCTTATGGAGTCAACCCCACAACTTCCCATAGTCACCACAACCAAATATAAAAAGCATACGAACTTCAAATGTTTGTAACTTTCTTGTTCGTGCTCCGATTGAAGCGATACTTGGCTCGACGGAAAGCTCTTGAGCAGAGGAGTCATTTCAGATATCTTCTCAAGAAAAATATCATTAACACACACTCAGAGAATCCAGACCAGACGAATCACAAATTCTTGCACACACTCACACCACGCATGCAACGCACGAACATATGATGGGAGGCAGACAGACGTGAATGCAAATGATAGCATCACATAACAGCAAGTGGCAGCAAGCGTCAGCACCAAGGGTGAAGCGGTTGGTAGCGGCTATGGCGCGGACGATAGCGCCAAGGAGAACGAGTCCAAGAAGAGCAATCTTGGAGGGACTAGCAAGTAGTGTGAACTTAAGGAGAGTGGTGCAAAAGCCAAAGAGCAGCACAAGGGTAAGATGAACCCCAAGGCTGCCGCGAATTAGGACTACAGCGAGAGCATGTGGGGCACAATTGTGAGTGCGGCATTTTACAAAACGACTTTGGCTATGGGGGAGTGTGATTCATTGACTTTGCACCGATGAATGTGGCATGCGGCCCTACCCTCTTTGCAGCAGCTAGTAAAGGGAGAGATGGTTGCTGGCATACGTGTTAAGGGGAGACTACCGAGATACTTGGCTGACCCACATGCATGCAAGCCAAGTTCACCCGTTTCCCATTCTCTAGTTTGGAGGCAGCCGCTAAGGCACCGCTTGATTAGGTGGTGGTGGACGTGGTGGGAGCAGAGATAACTAATTCAACGGGAGCTAGAGAACGGGCTAGGCACGGGGCTTAAATGATCACTGCGTTCGTTCCTTAGTCGTTTCCTTGTGTGCTTACTATTTGCTAGTTCACGGAAAAAACTGGTAAGAGTTTCACTAGGAGAACATGACAAAAATGATACACAATGGCAAGGCAACAATGACTACGTCGGATGCTAGCAAGCAAGCCAGTCGACTGCCAGCGCTGTATGCTCGACCGCGTTCCAGCACTACAATGTCGACCGCGCTCAGTGCAATGTCGCGGTTTGCCAACGCTGCAGGTTGACGGCGTGCCAACACTACAGTAGGTTGGCGACACGCGTTGCATCCATAAGACAGCAGGGCACCCGCTTCACAGATGCTCGGAGTTGGTTGGCGCGGTGTGCCTCGTCACTCACACAGTGCGGACGCCACACCAACCACGGCCCACGTCCGCACCTGACCCTCCATGTCGACCTCGGGATACCATTCCCGAGGTCGGCCTCGCTAGGACCACCTGGGCGACTGTCGTGCACCTTTGCAGAACTTTGTCACCCGGGTAACTTGGTCGACCTGGAAACCACCAGTTCGGCGTTGACTTCCTTGGAGAAAGTCGACCGGAAGTTGTATGTGCTCGTCTGTAGCCCAAGTCGACGACCACCAGTCGACTTCACCATGTCGTCCACTCCCAAGCTAGCGTCACCAAGTCAACGCCTCCGAGGTCGACCTCGCCAGGTCGACCACCTAAACTCGGCGCCCTCCAAGGCGCCCCATGGCTCCCCTGTCCAAGTCGACGTCGGAGCCTCCCAAGATCAGCGTCCACCCTCGTCGACCACTGGGACTGTTCGGCCGCCGGCTCCCCATC